GGCTCATACTAGTACGACGCACGTCTTGTAGCGTCTCTGTAAGTAGCATAAATGCTCACACATATTCTATTTTTTACTTTTGAAATAAAGGTCCTAAAGGAGCTGTACGGTCACGAAATTTAATAAAATTCAGACAGTGAGATATGTCCCCAAACTGAGCAAAACATAAACTTAACGCCTCAAAACATGAAAAGAAGAAGATAAAAATAACACAGCAATTAAAAACAACAAGAAAAGAATTGATAGGTTTTCTACATGGTATTATATTGTTTATTACATGGCTACAATAGTACGCGTGCTCTGATTGCCTGCTAAGCGGGCAAGATTTTCTTGTGATGACCGGACATGATTAGCAAAGTGTCCAAGGCATATACAAACTGTGTTTAACTTGATAGTGGACATCCATGTTATGGTCAATTGACAGCTGTCAAAAAGGGTATACGCTGAACAGTCTCACTTGACTGTATAGCGGGCTCAAGTGTACAACTCATGACCAGTTATTGATTCTAATTGATCGCAGGCTCAATTACTTCCGGTGTTTTACGTTAAGAGCGTTAAAAAGGCCATGTAATAAATAACTTACTACCTTTGTCCGTTCAGTCATTACACCGAGGGAAATCTTAGACCGAGGCCTTGATGTATTGACCGAGCGATAACGAGGTCAGGCCGAGGTCGGAAATTTCCCTGTAATGACTTCACTCTCGGTGGATAAGTGGTATATAATTCCACATAGAAAATCCACTATCACTTATTCAAAGCTAAAATAGAAGCTCACTTTTAATACCTTTAATAACACTGCTGTCCAACACAGAGTGTGCTTTGATATTACGCAGCAACACTTCAAGAAGACACGTGTAAACTCCATCATCTTTGTCCCCAATATCTCTGATAACGAGAGGTCTAAGGCGATTTAGTGGATTATCGGGGTCTGGATTTCGAACTGATTCCACTAACATCCCATTCTTAAACCATGAAATCCTCTTCAGCCCTGTGCTACTACTTTCCCGGCCTTCAGTCATGTTGCAAATGATCGTTATGTCCTGGCCAGGCTGTAGCAGACCGAATTTCGATACAGCCACAGGAGGGATCTCGTCTTCTACATAGACATCAAAGGCATTCTAATATTAAACTACAACCTCAAGAAAATTGATGTTTGAAAGCGTAAGGTTATATCGCAAATTTCCACCTGTAACAAGGCTATCAATCATTTGAACTAGTTTAACGGCTGTCCATTTTCTGCTAGAAGCACTGGACAATATTTGATCATGCTTACTATAGAAATCTCACCTTGACAAAAACTAAGCTAATAGAGACAGCCAATAAGTCGTCTCACAAGATCCACAAGTTGTTCTGAACAAGACCGATACAACTTGTAAACCTCGTTTAACTCCATTAGCGCCATAGAAACCTTAACCTGTGATCAGAAAGAAAAAGAACTTCTGATCGCTGGATAAAGAAAACTCTTCTCCTTTCTGAAAATCATATACTTTTGGGACTTTTTTAGAAACAAATTCTATCTGGGGTAGCAAACTTCTAATTACAGGGGTAAGCTGCTAACACTCAGTGACTGCTCCACCACTGCTCAACGAGAATGACTTACTTCCAATGACATTGACACTAAATCCATGTTTTCTCTCCAGAGGGTCACCAACTGCAAAAGCGTGACACTCTTACCTTCCCAGTGGACCAAAGGTACTGTCATCATTCAGTGAAACATTCTTAATAATCATGGTTACAGAGAGCTTTTGATTGCCTTTTGATAAAGGGAGTTAAATATTAGACACGCACATTAAAAGTCCTCAAAAATAACAAGTATTATACCACTACATGAGAAATTTCTGCAATTTGATTGGCTTAGAGCAGTGGTATTTCAGCTTGATTTGAAATACCTACAGGTGAAAATTACAAACCGTTTGCGGGTAGTAGTATGAACAAATAATTGCATGATTTATGCTTGATATTTGGCATAAATACCACTCGTGATATTTCAAAATTGTCTCAAATTTCAAACGTTAACGTACAACAATTTCGAAATATCACTCGTGGTATTTATGCCAAATATCACTACAAATCATGCTATTACCTATACATATCATATTGTTTTTTAAAAAAAGATTAGGGGCCGACCATTTGACTTTTGCTGGGAGGTGCCTGAGTTCAGGAAAAAATATCATGGATACTGACTTCAAAGGGAAAAAAATCCTGCAAGGAAATACATTAAGGGGAAAAAATTCCTGCTCTGAAAAAATATATCCCTCATGTGGTATATAAATGCTGGAAAAAAATCTTACACCGTGGTATGTCGGGTAAAAAATTCTAACTCGAGAGGTTTGAGAATTTTTTTTTTTACTCAAACCAAATCCCACAAACCCTATTCAAAATTCAAATGGTCGGCCCCTTACGTTTCCATGCTTAAGAGAAAAGGCCCGCATGCTTTTCAGTGACAACAACGGTTTTCGTCAAGACCAACTAAACTAGCAGTGCACAGTAGAAGAAAAGA